ACTACTTCTCACTCTGTCTAAACTTCAGAGAGTTTTTCCACGCTCCAAACCTAGTTTCCAGGTTTTATTTTTTATTGTGATCTTCCAGATTTCTGATTACTCAGGAATACATATATACATACATACCTCTGACCACAATCTAGTCTTCCTTTTAAAATTGCTTAAAAAATAAAAATAGAAAACAAAAAAGTCCTATTTGCCCCTTCAACCTCCTAAAATTTCTGAGGAGTCTTCAAAAGAGCTCTTTGAGGAATCATTCTACCACCAAAGACCAATTTTTCTCACCTCTGCATCAACAGTGGTACTCAGTCATGCTGAATAACAAAGCCAAGGAAATAAACAACGGTTGGAAAGGGTTGTAATAAAGCCAGACAAATCACACCCTATTACACAGCCTGTCCCCATAGCCTGTTTATCTGTGTTATCCATGTGTTATATCTTGTCTTTTAGTTTGCAAAGATTTTTTTTTTAAGTTAGGACTTATTCATTATATTTGTACAAAACCTAGCAAAATGGAGTCTCGCATTATTATGTCTTTTAGGTGCTATCACAAATTGTAAGTGACAGGCTCAAGCTGAAAGAAGCTATTTTGGTCAGAAAAGGAAAACAGCTGATGTAGAGTAGCTTAGTTTGAATAGGGACAGGAAGATTCTAGGACATAAGTATCTAGAGAAATTTAAATCATTATTTATATAGTATACCTAACTCTGCAAAGAAAAGCAGCAGCCACAGAGTCCTTGTCCCAGAGCTAATCTAACTGTCGAATGGGGCCAAGAGTTCATGAGTAAGAAAGAACGAAAACTTCAATACTGCTGAGATTTGCTAAAAACAGCTTCTCAAAGGAAGCTGGAGAGATGTGAAAAAAGCACTGTTGGGTTAGTGAAAACTGGAATGCCATTCCAAGCAAGGAGACAAGAATAAAGAACACAAAATGGTTTATTCCCACAAAATAAGACATTCTTGTTCAAATGGCAAGTCCAGTAATTAATTGTATTAGAAACAGTGTAGCACAGATAGCCAGGATTATTCATCTCAAAATTGCCTTGGTCAAACCATTCCACACATCTGCCACCTTGTTGAAGCAACAGTTCATTGGAAGCTATGAAAGGAAGCCAGGCAAGGAATTAGATGGTAACTGAGTAAAGAAAACTTTCTTTTACTCTTGAGAGAAAGTAGTTAAATAGTTAAGACAATTTTGTCCAACTCATGGCCCACTACCATGTGTAGCCCACGAGGAGTTAAACCGCACCCTTTAGCTCTCACACAGAGCCACTCCACTATTCCAACTGCTGAAGTCTCTGGGTTTCCATTCCCTGCCCTAGGTTCATATTCCTATCCTCACCCCAGGAGTGGGGCAATGTGTTGCAGTCCAGGAAGCCCAGAGATCAGAGTAGCTGTCCCCACCTCCACCCCTCATGCAACACAGTGTGGCAGGGAGGAATGCCCACATAACAAGGTATGGCACAGCTTGGGGGTGGTTAGCACCAGCACTTGGTTTACTAAGAAGTTGGACACCTGTGAGTTAAGACATTAACTTGGGATTTAGGAGACTCAGGGCCCAGTTTACTGATCCACCATATACTTCCTAGGTGACCTTTAGTGAGCCTGTGTCTAAATTCCCCACCCATTAAAAGAAGTTGATTGTACTTCCCTAGGTCAGAGTTTGTGGCACGGCAGATACCTTAAGATAATGAGGTGCTCAGATATTAGAGAAACAGGAGCTATACATAACTAAAAAAAGAAAAAAGTGATGATCTAGTCAATTTCTGCTACAGACCCCAGTGTCATACTACTAGTGAATTAAAGAAAAACAACAAAACAAACAAGTTGAAACTCTGTATACCTTTAAAGGAAAATCCATCTTTCTGTGTGAGACCAAGAAAATTTGCTGGACTATCTTTTGGTAAAAAGATAGTTGCACTGAATGAGAAAGTAACAGCATCAGCCCCAAGGGCCAGTACCCATTTTGCAGCCCTACGCTTAGAAATCTTGCCTAATCCAACAATTGGCCTTGGCTGAGACCCAGTGTTCTGCTATTTCACACTGACAGTCTCATAAATGGCTGGGTAACCAACCATTGCAATTGGAGGCTAAGAGAAAGTGACAGTAAGCCTGTTAGACCACTGAAAGAATAAGATTTCTTGAAGGAAGGGATAGACTGATGATGGCTCTTAATTCAAAGACTTGAAAACTATTTAATCTAACTTGTCAGAACATGTTGAAAATGCCTAGTCTGATTTTGTGTCTTTCTTGGCAGAATTATATCTCAGAAATAGATGCATAGTCTAGGTTTATCTCCTTACTTTTTAAAATTCTAAATGAATTTAGCATTTGTGAAAAGTCTCTCAGTTTGACAGAAGTGGAGCACCACTGCTCCGTATGCTCCCAGAAAACAGTGTTGCACAGCGGCAGTGCTAACTTCTCCACACTGCCCCTTCAATTTTCCCCAACACTACGTTAGAAGAAACTAATTTAGATGAAAAAACACGGTACAAGACTTTAGGTATATGTTACTCTTGGTTTCTCTACTACGAATTCCCATTGGGTCAAATCCTGATAAAGGTCTGGAGATGTGTGTGTGGATTTGATAACAGTCTTCAAACATCTGAAGGGCAATTATAGAGAGGATGGAAATGGGCTTTTTTTCTGTCGCTGTAGGGAACAGGACTGGGAGCAATGGACTCAAGCTGCAGCATAGGTAATTTTGCTTGGAAATTAAGAACTTTCTGACTATTGGAACAGGCTGCCATCCTTGGAAATTGTGCTGTTTTGTCTACACTCGTCTTGAAGAAGGTGATAGCTAACACTCAGCAATGCACCTTTATCTTCTAGTTTGGACAAAACATAAATTTGTAGCCAGGATCAGCTCAACTCCTGACCAATGGAACAGAAAAATTATACCTTTCATTTCCATCTCTTGCACTATGCCCTCAACTCACACTGCAGAAGTTCTGAGTCACTATTTTTCTGTTAACAAACATCTACTTGCACTGGGTTTTGATTTTCTTAATAAAAGCTTCTTTCTTGATCAGCACTATAGTAAGTTTGGGCCAGATTTTCAAAGGTACTTAGACATCTAAAGCACTTCTGGAAAACACAACAGGCACCTATTTATCTTTTAGGCATCTAATTACTACAGCTGCGCAGAGACCCAGTTTCATTTCTCAGAGAATTTCACTTTTTCAAAATTTGATTTTATTCTAGTTTGGAATGAAAACCCCCAATTTTTAAATCCTCTACCACACGGAAAATCTCAACTTTAGGAGTAATCCATATGGCTGGAGGTACTTACGGGCTAAGCCAAGGCCCAGCTCTCCCAGAGGTATGAAGACAGTACCCCCAAATTCTTTGGCAGTGCACTTGTTGAGCTGAAGAAAAAATAATATTCTGGAAGCCCTCTGCCTGGCTAGCTGTAGAATTGAGGAGAATGTAAGCCTAGGAGCTGGGGCTTGCAGGCTCTTAGCTCCCTGTCAGCCCATCAGGCAGGCTCCCAATATTCTTGAAACCCAGATGCCCAGGATGCCAAGGAACCAGGTGGTTAAGCTGGCTGGGAGCTAGGAAGGTTTCTGTCCAAAACTTTTTGTTTTGTTTTCTGATGGACTGTGAAATCAAGACGTCTCTGTGGAAAGTCTTGATTTTAATAAATTACCATTCTCTGACAAAAGCAAAGGGAAACAACCAATATTGCCATCAGAGAATGTCATCTAACTCTAATATAAACCTTTGTAATTCAGGCCCTTGGCTTAACAGACATACTGTAAAGCACTTTGCATTTGAATGGCAAGTAGTTAGACACTGTATCCATGAATATCAGATTATACTCAATTTTTTCAAAACGCCTGCTGATCTACACAGGGTGAAACTGTGCCTTCAATTAAACCAATGGGAATTTGCCATTGGCTTTGGAGGCAGGATTTTACCTATAGTATTTACTAACCCTTCCCATGAAGGACTGTCAGTACTGCATTATACATTTTATATATTCATAATTTTCTTATCTTCAGATGATCTCTCAAAATCTAATTTGGGGATGAAAGATGCCATACAAAGAAGAAATAAAAAAAACACAAAACAAATTTTAAGTTAGCTTAACCGTGCATATAATCAAATATCAGGAGAGCAAAAAGCACCTCCCAAAATCACCAGCTCACGGATTACTTACTCTTCAATAACTCTAATGCATCTTTAGAATAGAAAATGCACCACAGTAATACAGGCTTTTAGTAGCAGCACCATTACAACATAGTTTTGAAAAGGAACAGTAAAACAAAAGAAAAGCATTAAGACAATTTGGCATGAATATTGCTCTAATAAGGACCTTACAATTAATTTGGAATCACACAAGGATTAATCATTTTGTATACCCATTTAAAAACAAGAGGTTCATAACAGAAACATGATGTAAATACCAAATTTTATGAATGGACATAGCTACAAACAACATGCATCTTACCGAAGCAGAAAGGAAAAAAAAGCTTTTCCATGTTAAGCACTTAATTCCATTCAGTTTTTTGTAATGAACATAATCTTAATTTATAACAGACTGTTTTAAGACTCTATTAATACAGCAGAACTGGCGGGGAATGGTAAAAACGGAAACAAGATTAAGATATAGCAGTTTAATTTCCTACGAAATAATGCATTGCCAGCTGTGCAAACTTTCTCTAGTTAAACAAATATGTCTAAAACAAGCAACAAAAAGATTTATGTTTTACTTTGTTACTTCAGCAGTAAAGTCTCCTAAGAAAATTCTTAACAGCCCCTGACGCATAAAATGAATTTAATAAGCAGAACTCTGAGCAGTCTTTAATTTTTATCTTCAACTCTTTAGCTTTGATCTCCTGCTGACATTCTAACTCATATATTCTGTACATTCTTTCAGTGTAATGAATAATCAATATGGTATACAATATGCTCCTCAAATACCAGACTGATGAATGTAGACTTTGCCAACCAGACTCTTTGCTTTTCCCTTCTTAAGGAAAGGAGATGGCCCTTACCTGTGAATTCCAACAACAACCTTTGTTCATTCTGTATAATTTCCTCTTCTGGAATCTCTGAAGTGGCCTTGTTCGGGCACACATGCTTGCAATAGTTACAGATGGAGATCTCAGCCTTGTCCTTTCTTTTCTTCTTTTTTTAATGTGTTGCTGATCAAGTATCCAGGCACTAGAGGATATTTCCTCCCTGTTGTCTGAAGCTCTGAAAGGTCAAGAAATGAGCAAAAAGTCCAAGAGTTCAAGAATGCTCCAAATACACAGACAGCTTTTCACAACCGGTAGATCTACTCACTGAAGACTGTTAGACTCATAGGCTGCTGACAAACGTGAAAAAACCCCAAACATAAAAACAGTGCTTTAACAGAAGAGGCATCACACATCAGTTTGACCTGGCTTGTCCAATATCTAACAGAACAAACAGCAATGGTCTCAAGTTGCAACAAGGGTGGTTTAAATTGGATATCAGGAAAAACTTTTCCACTAGGAAGGTGGTGAAGCACTGGAACAGGTTACCTAGAGAGGTGGTGGAATCTCTATTCTTGGAGGTTTTTACAGTCCAGCTTGACAATGCCCTGGCTGGAATGATCTAGGTGGGGATGGTCCTTCTTTGAGCTCCTGAGGTCCCCAATTCCTAGATGACCTCCTAAGGTCCTTTCCAAGCCTAATTTTCTATGGTTTTCCTTTCTACCACTCAGATAAAAACCAGGTCAAAATGAAATTAAGGCGGGAATACAAATTTCCTATTTTTGCAATAACTACATAATTTCATTAATTTTTTGGTAATTATATTTTAATATAACTCTAAGCTTCAGCTCATGATACATTCCTATATAGCCACATTCCATTAATGTCAGAGTTACTCTGGTATAAAGAGGGGAGGGCAAGTCAAGTTCATTATCTTGCTTCAATATCATACAGCTACTTACATTCAACGTTCCCTCTAAACTGTGCACGTGCATGGCCACACACAATAAAAAATCATGTTGTGCAGTACCTTTCTAATGCCATGCACACAGATGGGGGGGGGGAAGAGGGCGGTAGGGGGCCATGGCCCTCTGGTACCGGCCTGGGGGGGACGCCCAGTGCCATAGCAAGGGAGCACTGCAGTTCCCCCTGCCGGCTTCGTGTCCAGCCACTCGCCACCCACCCCAACCCAGCCACAATCTGCTGCAGGAGAGCAGAGGGGTGGGCACACTGAGATACCCACGGACTCCCAGCCAGGATTGCTCATGGATTGCTAAACCTAACCCCCTTCCCTTTCCTGTCACATTGTGCTCCCAAAAACTTAGGGGAGAGTTCTGGAAGGTGGATAAATTGTCTGAGCTCAGAGCAGATCCAGAGCTGAAAAGTGGACTAGACTTTGCCCAGATCCAGCTGGTTTGGGAAGCAAAGGAGAGTCAGTGATTGGATCTAACTGCAACAACACAGTGGGGGCATGTCTACATGTGCATTCATGTGCTGTAATTACTGTGCGTTAAGTTTAGTACCTGTAACTCAACGCGCAGTAACCGGCACTACTGCACAGTACTGCTAGCATACACCTTTTCAGTGATGCTAATGTGCAGTATACTGATTCTACTGCACATTAATGCAACAGCACAGCTTTTGCAGTGATGCGCTAATGCACAGTAGAATGAGTCTACAGCGCATTTAGTGTCTTGTGTAGACGTGCGCAGTATCATACAAGAGATACAGGAGTAGAGTACAACACCTAATGTCTTTCACATGACTTTCTCCAGCTGTAAACATCACCTCATCATCTGCCTAAACTAGAATCATGTTAGCACTGCTTACACCCAACCCTTATTAGCATGCAGTATTTTAAAAGGGACAGGCTTGTTATAAAGGAATAAAATCAATGAATAATGCAACCATCCATTTACATGAAAGCAGATATGACAGAAGGTAGTTAAATACATGTTACTAAATTACAACCGATTTGCCTGATAAGGCCTATTTTAAAAGAGGATAAGAATAAAAAATACCCTCCAACTGAGTGAGAATGAATCGACAACACCACACTACTTTTATAGTATCTTCTTTGATTTTGTTGCTGTAGCAACTTCTGCCTGCAAAGTTAAAGCCTCACTGCAAAAAGCACTCAAGTGTGCATTTATTTTTACAGCATCAAAGACTACAGACATAACACTGAATTGCCTGAGAAATGTCAGAGAATGAGATATTCAGGACCCAACTCATAGTAGGCCATTTGTCTGCACCAACTCCTGTTATTTTTGTCTTTATCTCATTTGATAAAATCTACAAGTCACAGATTGCTTACAGAACTTCAGTAAGTGAAAACAGGCAATAAAACAATGGAAGCTCATTAAGATGCCAACTATTAATCTTTTTTGACAGCTAGCTCTGAGTTGTAGAACAGGGCTCTATAAAACTAGATTATCTACCACCATGACATTTTATATGCCTATTTATAAAAATATATTATGCACCCATGCCTTGGTAATATATAAAGGTTTATAGGCATGAGTTTGGCATGGCCATTTTACAGGTCAGCAATGAAATCACTATGAATTAAGTAGACCAGTTATTCTCAACAAGGGTCCTGTGGCACCCTGGTGTCCCAGTGCACTACGCAATACTAGCACTGTTAGGCGTGAAAAAAATCTTTGCATGATTCACAAGATAAACCCAAGAGATGTCCAATAGGAATCCATAGTGTCAAAAATACTTTAACCTGGTTTGGTCTTTCTGAGTTCTTTCCAAGAGAAGAATTGCTGTTTTTTTCCATAGCCAAAAAATGAATGCAACCTAAGAGGTGGCATTTTCCTGAGTTGAACAAGGGGTGCCTGGAGTCTAAAAAGGTTTAGAAACACTGAAGTAGACCATATTAAAAAGCTCCATATTAAAAATGTTATTACCCCACATTGGGCGCATCTACACACGCAAATGCTGCCGGATGGATTTACTTCCCAATAACTTACTGCAGAGTAAACCTACCGTGGGAAGGCATCTACACATGCAGGCATTTGTGAACAGATTTGCTCCCACCCTGCTCTGCCTCCCTCAGCAACCAGGGGTAGCTCCAGACTCCCCCTGGGTGCTAGCCCAGGGGCCTGGTGGGGGCTGGGAAATTGCTCCCTGCCCCTGGGAGCTGCCTGCATCTGGGGCAGGCTCCAATGGCAGAGCCCAGGCTGGGACAATGTTCCCCTGCCCCAGCAGCAGGGAGCTCCCAAAAGGGCTGGGTAAGAGCTATGGGGGAAGAGGTGCTTTCCTGCTCAGCCAGGGGCAGCTGCGAGCTGTCCCACCAGTGGGGCAGGTAGCAGTGAGATCCCAGCTGGGTGGGGATTCTCTGCTAGGCTGGGGGCTCAATGCTAGCTGCCCCACTTGCAGATCAGGGCAGGGGGCTGGGAAAGAGCCATGGGGCTAGGACTTGCCCCAGACCAGGACAGTTCCTGCTCAGCCTCAGGCTGTGTGAGGAAGTCTGCATGTGCAGGAGGGACCTGCCCCAAACAGGACAGTTCCCAACCAGCTCTGGGCTGCATGGGCAGACTTCCCATGCAGACCAGGGCTGGCCGGGAACTGTCTCAGTCTGGGACAGATCCCAGCCAGCTCCAGGCTGGGTGGGAAACTCACCCTGTGCAGGAAGCTCCTGGCTCCAGCTCTGTGATAGGAGCAGGGCTGGGAGATTGCGCCTTGCCCCCAAGACATGCCTGTTGCTAGGACGGGCTCTGGTGGTGGAGCCCAAGCTGTGATAACGTCCCCCTGTCCCAGAAGCAGGGAGCCAGGGCCAGGAGCTCCTTGCTAGGGAAGAGCAAATTACTGCGCAGTAAGCATCTAAACATAAGACGGTGATGCTTACCGCATTGTAATATGCTCTACTGCCCAGTAAAGCATAGCATGCAGATACACCCATTATAAGGTATTTCATGTAATAGCACATATTAATAAAATGCAAGTTAAAAATACGGCTAATTTTAGTTTCTCTCCACCTTGCAAAGTCAGATATTATCTTTTGAATCTTGTATATTTTGGTTAACAGTGATGAGAAAGCTTATAAACATTTCTTATACAATACAGTGTGGCTTGAGTGTTTTTCTGGGGGTCCCAGAAATGTCTGAGGCAAGGATTTTTTCTGATATTTTTTCTTTCACAACTGCATAGTTGAGAGAACTGTTGGACAAGCTTTCCAGGATCAAGTGCCCTTCCTCACGTCTGAGAGAAAAGCAGACACAGGTGAACTAAACGCACATGTAAACAGTCTGCTTGGAGGGTTGGATGGAGGAGGGTGTGAAAACAGGAGCTTTTATAAGACAAAGGAAGTGCAGTGGAACAGGTAATCTAGTTAGTGGCAAGAGAAACACCATTCAAGAAAAGAGTGGTTATTATCTGTGAAGATCAGGAAGAGTATTGGCAGTACTTGTTAGGTTGAAATGAGCTATAAAACCACTGTCCAGTTTTTTTATTGTCCAGTTGAGTTACGAATTTCTGTTCCCAAGGCCCATCTTCCTGGAGGTGCTTTGTAAATTCCCTTTCAGCACAAGAATGGAGAGGTTGGAAAGGGAGCGGTTCAAGTCAGGAGGCTCTGATGAACTTCATCCCAGGGTACTGAAGGAACTGGCAGAGAAGATCTCAGGACCCTCAGCAAAACCTTTTACAAAGTCATAGGAGATAGGCAAGGTACCAGAGGACTGAAAAAGGGCCAATATAGTGTCCCTCTAAAAAGGCAAAAAGGAAGATCTAGGAAACTATAGATTGGTTAGCCTAACCTTGATACCAGGAAGTTAGTGCAGCATATCATAAGGAAGTCTATTTGCAAATATCTCAAAAAGAAAAGGCTGACCATGAGCAGCCACTATGGATTTAATAAGAACAAATAATGCCAAACAAACTTGATCTCCTTCAACAAGATAACTATCTGGGTGGATGAAGGGAATGGTAGATAAAGTGTACCTAGAATTCATCAAAGGGTAGTCTGGGAAAAGATGACCCTGCCTCAGGCAGGGGGTTGAATTAGATGACCTCCATAGGTCCCTTCCAGCCCTACTTTTCTGATTCTATGGTGATTATGTGAAAAAAAAATGTGCTCCTATTGGTGTTCATGTCTCTTTGTCCTTTATATTTTTTTTCGTGTAAGAGTTCAGTCTGCTTCGTAGTTCTTGTCTAGTTTCACTCACATAAATTCCATAAGGGCATGTAGTATACTGCATGAGGTACAACATCTGCGATGTGCCTGTGTACGAT